GTTTGGTTCTTCTCTGTCCATTTCCTACAAACACGCATTGCTGGCGGTCTGCGATTGCTCGCTACGAAAGTTCACCCTCTCGCATACCGACTATGCTGCCTTGTTCGAACTCCGTTAGTTGCTGGTATGGCACCCTCCGCTGCTGACGAGGCATAGTGACCACTAATTAAACTTTCACCGCAGGCAGACGACGATAAACAGATTTCAACTCATATTGACAGTCCTTTTTATGCATGGAACAAGCGGCTGGTTCTAATAACATGCATGCACAATCGCTTTGTAATTACAAACATTTGCATGTCTTACCTCACTTTATATTTCCTTAAGTTTGGTTCAATTTGCGTAATTCTTTTCATGGTGTTGTAGTTTCCTCAAATGTTAGTCTATTAAGACATGATTGTAAAGTCAATAAGACACAAAAGTCATAACACAACCGCCTGTTTTATGCAAAAATTTAAAACATTTTTTGGGGGGATTAAAATACATGCAAAGTTATTCAAGAAATTTAGAAATTCGCTTGGTACAAAAATGCTGTTTCAGAGATTAAAATGTAAAATATATTGATAACAAAGATAAAATCATCTGCATAACATTTTAATCATATCCAAAATGGTTACCTCCTAAAAATGAAATCGGGCACTGAAATGGCATATAATGACGCAATACTTTTCAGAAGTTCCGCAAAGACATCGTAATATTTTGCTCTTAATACGACTTTAATGAAGTTACTTGATTTAAAACAACGAGACAAATGATATCGAAATATATAACTTTATAGAGTTTGACTTTCTCAGATAGCATAAACTGGTAACAAACTCCTAACAGACGTTCATTGCATTATCTGTATGTCTGGCGATAAGGACAAAGTCTTGAAAATGTTTCAGTAACATTTTTATTAAAATCAGAATTTAGCAGAAGAGCACGTATCATGTTTGACAAATCTGTCTAGACTTGAGCTGAGATAACAGTCAATTAAAAATTTAGAAATAAACTTGTAGTCAAAAGCTAATTATTTCAGGTTAATGCCAAGTTGACTCACAAATCTAACCAGCGTACGTATTGAAATATTTAGCAGCAAATAATGCAAAGCCAAGTTATTCATGTCATCAAAGCTGGAAGAAACATAACCTGCACCCACACCAGCAGAAACAAGTTCTGTCTTATAATCTTTACATCCTCAGCTTAAATACACAAAGTAATTTGCATTCTGGTTAGGAAACGGAAAGAGAATTGACCGTAAAGGTCTAAATCATAAAATAACTGGTAACTGGTTATGCAAAATAATAATAGCCTTACAACTTTACTCTTGGACCATTATGCACGAAAGGATGCATATGATAATTCTGATATGAGATGCATGTGCGGCCCGACGCCAAGGAGGAAGATAAAAAAAAATTGATGTGAAAGTATTTTAGATTGGGAGCGAGAATCTGATAAATTCTAGTTAAAATTTATTGCATTTTTTTCAGAAAAACTTGTGTTTCTCCTTGCTGCGTGTCTTCATGGTGTAACTGTAAGCATCTCCGGCATCTAGAGTTCGTATCCCGGCAAGGACACTTGAAATCTTTTATGTTTCTGCCAGGATTTGGCAATAAGGCTTTCCAATCCTCAGTTGTTCTTTAACTGGGTGAGTATGTAAGGTATTTTCTTTCTCCTAACCGCGTGCCATCATGGGTAATTGGAAATACGTCCGGGTAGTAGAGGGTAGACCCGAAGTTCGAATTCCGGTGAGGACGCTGCATATGTTTCATGTTTCCTGCTTTCACAAAACTAACGGTTCTATAAACTATTCGTAGCTTTTATTTATCTATAACATCAAAAGGACATTTGAATCAAAACTCCCAAGAAATATTAGTTTAAATAGACATCCAGTTCTAGAAATATGTTTCCTTGGCTCAGGAAACAGTAAAGGAACTTTCGCCAACTTTTAAATCACGAATCAGTTACTTTCTGGGCAAGCTACCACTTACACGAAGAGAACATGCATTAGGGAATGCGATAATATTTACATCTTCTCTTTATTTAAAGCGCGACTGAGGAAAGGCACGAGACCCAGTCCACAAAATCCAGGTGGCAAAGAATTATCCTGCATCATACTTTACTTCCGGCCCCAATGTAGAAATTGCAAATTTTTTTGAAGTAGCAAACGTGAAAATTTAACTGTGCTTTCACCGAGGTTCGAACTACGAATCTTCCATTGACAGCCGGGTGTTCTAACCACTTACACTACTAATGTACACATGAGGAAAATGCGTTGCTTTCTTATACAGTGATCTGCCTTTATTCCATATATTCCATGGCTCGCTTTTAAATAAAATAACCCCATGTTTGATATATGAATAATGTTGTTAGTATGCAGCTTTGAAAATGTGAGCAAAAATTAAGCCATTCCTAAATATACAAATTCCCTGCTATTGTTTAAAATGTATATAATTGCCAGGTTGCCTAGAAAGTAAGAATTGTATTTAATATTTGAAAATGTCACTAAATGGATAATTATTCGGTGAGTTAAGTTAGGTAAGTTCGGGTTTCAAACGCTGTCACTGATTTAATTTCTGACTAATAATTAAGAAAAAATATCTACCTTACTAAGCATTGAAAGAGAAATAGGTTATATAATACTGAACAGTTAGTTATATAAACAATATTTAATAAAAATTTCTGTATATTTTGGAATTATCCATTCTAATTTCTTTTTTAAGGCAAAGTAGTACAATACATTCCCAGCTACGCATTGCGCAACGGGACATTGAGGGATTTCGAAACAAATCCCCAGGAAATTTCTTTTACTCTGTACGAATTTGCGTGGCGCGACTCTTTGATTGAGAACATCCGGGCACTCCGGCCGGATGTTAATATCACCGTGAGTGACGTCACTAAACGACAGGCTCTCATTGGCCACCTCCACGTCAGCTAGAGGGGCTCGTCTCTCAAAGGCACTAAGGACACAGTGTTAACGAAGAAAAGCCACTGACACTCACGTGCTAGTGTTACCTATAAGTTAACTTCAAAACAAACAGTTCGCCATTGCCTTTTCTGGCGTCTTCTATTTATAGCAACAGTATTAAATTATTGGTTCAGTGTTAATGAATTACAGTCAAATTTAGATGACAACAGAAGTCAATGAATCAGTGGATTTGTGAATGACATTTCGTATTAAAGTTGAAGGAGTTATAGTAAGGAATGGAGTGATTCTGTAAATTGTTTATTGACTGCTATTGACGTAAAAGCAAAATGAGTGGTATGATGTTACTGAAATTCAGATTATTCAGTTGATGATTATTATTAGTATTTTGGAGGTTAGAAATATACACGAGAAACTTTGACGCTGGATTTTTAACTTATTGGTTAAGTTTGATTCTTTTCTTATACACACGAAGATTTATGGAAGTAATTAAAATTTTAATCTGGTATTTTATGCGCCGAAATGCAAAACTGTTAGATAATATAAGTTTCTGGATTACTACATCAGGAATTCTATGGAGAAAATAAGTGACACTAGGTTTATCATCTGATTTTGAATATTAAGTTTTGTTCAGAATATTCAGTTAAGTTCTTGTTTTGTTAATATTCAGAATTAACTATTAGATTTTGATTTGCGTGTTAATGTTTCTTTCCTGCTAATGTAGCTATTGTGCAGGAAAAGCAACTTGCAAGGCTTCGTACAAATCGTATGGTATGCTTTTCGTTAAAATATTTTTTGGTAAGAAAATTACTTAAGCAGGAAGAAATATGAAAGATTTAAAAATATTACTAAAGACGCTCTATCTTTCCTTCAAGAAACTCTAAATAAGATGAAGAATAGCTTATGATCCTAATTAGTAACATAGATTTCAGTGCTACTAACATGGAAATGTGCTTTTTAATAATGTCTGCACAAATGTAAAACAATGTTTTGAATTGAACAATATCGCAGAAACTTTTAAGAAATTCATAGGAAATTTCTGAAAAAGAATTTCGCGCACAGATCCTGATAAAAGGTTTCATGTTTAAAACTTTAAGAAGTGTAATAATAATGAATATAGAATAGTAATGGAATATGATATTTGAATAAGTATGAGATAGGAATTGTAAACTTACAGTGGCATTAAAATATTTCTCCAACAATTAAAAGTATTTATGCGGTAAAATTATGAGTAACCTAGAATTATAAAATGGTTGTTGCCTGAAAAAGTGTTAGAGGTTACTAAGTTAAAAAATCTACTTTTTAATAGAACCTGTATTTTGATTTAGAAGCTTCTGTCTATAAAAAAATAAACATAATACTTATTTTTCAATAGTTACTGAAAGCATACGAAAGTTTTCCATAAAATAATTATAAATAGGACTATGCATATTTATCAGAAGAAGATCAAAATGCATCTTCCCATTCGCATAGTGACACATTATTGGTTTTATATTAACGATATGTAGAAAATTATTCAGTTCAACAATTTCTTATTTCGCATCGTTAGTAATGATAAAATGATAAGTATGCGTATTACAAAGGAAATTATCTATCTCATTGTGTAGAAGCGCTCCAAGCGATAAATATCTTCAAAAGTTTTTAATTCCTTCTTTATATTCTGAGGTATACTTTTCGAAAGATAACCAAGAAAGGTAAAGCCACAGCAAAATTTCACATTTTTTAAATCTTCAGTTATTTTGTGTTTATTAATTTATCATTTAGCATTTGAAGAATCATTTCTAATTATTATTCTTTTCGATTCAGATTAACGATCGATATTTGGAAATTTTGTATTGTAATTATAATATTCCAGTATGTCTATTTAAAACAGATTTAAAATATTTCATAGTTTTAATCTCTCTTTCTGAGTTTTCGAAATTTTTTAGTTAAGATATTTTAAATACTTGATTATCTTATTTCTGATGTTGCCATATTTGTAATGATTTTGTACTGCGACATGATTATATATATTTCTATCACAAAAATTTCTTAGTTTTGTGTACCATAGAGTAGTTAAAACTGTATTCTGTGTAAGCAGAAGAGAGAAAAATAAGATTAAAATAAGATTCATTGAAAAATCCATAACTTGATTTACGTCTTTGCTAAATAACACTGGAAATTCAATTGAAATCCTTGAAGCAATATTTAGAAAAAATGAAGTTTCTTATAATTTTTGGCGTACCGTTAGTTCTTGTGTCACTAAACAAAATGTTTTGTAGTCACTGCACGTCATTTACAAATACTATGAAAAACTCTGCAATGACATTTATCAAAAGATATAAAAACTTCAGAAACACTGAAATCATATGTTGCTGATTCCTCACATGTGCGGATTATACGATACATAGTGTATTTAGTGTACTTTGATTTGCGAAGCAGAATATTCCTCTTCCAAGGAGAGTTACATAATAATTAAAAAAAGTGTAAAAATATGTTCAATAATTCGAGTCCTCTCGTGCCAAAGTCTCCAGTAGGTCCAACTCCACCAATAAAGGACATATCCTGGGACGATGCCACTTGGATTATGACAAGTTCTTTTATTATTTTTACTATGCAATCAGGTAAGAAAAAGTGTACTTTGAAATGCTTTTACTTTGTTAAAATGATGATAGTAAAATCAGATGTTTTATAATTTTTATGAAACATTTTGACGAATTATATAAATCAAACCTCTTCTTTATATAAAGCGAAATTATATTTACGTAAAATAGGGCAGATACTCTTTGTTGCTTATTAAAATTCAGAAATTATATCATCATATTTTCAATTCCTAACTGTCTTGGCGATTACTGAAATCGCTTATCGTATCATAATCGGAAGATATGTAGTTCTTTATTTGAAAGAACAATGAATAAGTATTACAGATCTCCTTTGCTAAACGACTTTGATGATGGATTATTTTAGTTTAAAGTAGAGTCATACTAATTTTATCCAAATATTTAGGTATCTTTAAACTGTGCATCATTTTCAATTAATGTACATATTATTAATAATCAATTAATATTATCAGTTGTTATCTGCATTAACTAGCATTGGATTATTTATATATATCAATTACAAAGGGGAAATTTTATTAATTTTTATCATTAGCGTTTTTACTATAATACTATTATAACAATAGATTTGACAATTTATTTTAACCTGCATTACTTTCCATATATTGTTTTCTATGACTCTGTTTAGATTTCTGACTGAATAGTATTTAATATTGTTCTACAGAGAAAAAGTATTTCACTATTGTGTATGTGATGGTATATAAATGGTTCGCAATGTTGCTCCAAATTTAAAACTTTTAGTCTCAGAATTTAAATAAAATTCGTAAGCAATTTTTGTTGTCTGTACAATACATCTTATATCATCGAGTTCAAATCTTGCATACACATTATTTATCGATAAAAATGCAATATAGTAAAACGATTCTTTCGAAATTCGATTTCAGCTTTTTTATTTAATATTCAAACAATTTTTTTTACATAGCTTCGTTTAACGAACAAGCTAAGCATACGTTTTACTGTTTACAACATCGAATAGAGTGTAAAATTTTGGTTTTCAATCAAACTTGTATGAAAATTGTAATTTAATTTCTGAATTTTTGAAAAATGTTTTAAAATCTCTCAATATTGTTTCCCGTTTATGATTTTAAATTTTCAACGTCTGAAAATGTATCGGATAGAAGATTTTTAAATTTTCACTGACTATAAAACAAATTCTTCGCTCTCTTTTAAAAGAATAATAAAATATATTAATTGAGCAATTTCCTATGTTTTTTTTTAATTGTTGCAGTCTGACGCAGAGGTGAAAAAAAGTTTTGAGTTTGCCAGATTGGCGCACTTTAGTGACAAAAGTTTTTTATTTTGGCCCGCATACCGACGAATTGATGATAATTGTTTTTTCATTTAACTTCAAATAAAAGGCTCGGTGTGACACTGTTATTGCATTCAGTTTCCAAAACTAAATATTTAAAGCGATTTCTTCATTTTATGAATGACGTTTTGCTATTTTCTTTATTTCAAAAATTTCTTATAATTATTTTGCTTGCATTTTAATAATGAATTAAAAATTCATGATTGACGTGTAATTGAGTCTAAAAATGGAAATAAAATTTTTAAATTTCATAAAATATGATTAATGGCTGTTAGCCCATTAATCATCCACGAGAAAGTCTCCAGCAGATATACTTACGTTATTCTGCTCAGCATAAGATTTTTAATATATTATTCAAATTTCAAAAGTATATTATTTGTCACTAAATGAACTAAAAATGCCAAAACATATGCTTCTTAATTCTTACCTTCATTTTATATTTTCCTTTTAAAGTTTCGAAAAACTTCGTAAACAAACTATTATAAAACAGTTTGATTCTTATTAATATGTATAAATAACAGGTACAATTTATTAATTATAAAAAGCTTTCAATGTAAATTTTACATAAAAATGGCAACATTTACATCATTACGTAACAGTAAATAAAGCACAGCATCAGTAGCTGTTACTTTTCAGCCCGCCACTCGCTAAAAAGTAATCACTAACTTATATATAATATAAATACAACATATATTAAATCGTTTCAAATTTTTCTGCTTTATACTACGTTAGTGTCAATTTCATTTGTCTTTACAATTTTTAAGTATTTTAGTAGCTTTTGTGTTTTGAATTATTTATTAGCACTAATAGTCACTTAATTAGCACTAAAAGGTTTGAATTACTTATTAGCAATAAAACTAACAATAACTGCGTTCGTTGAATTATTTATTAACAACAAAACTAACAAGAAATGCTTTCGTATGCCCCTTTGTGTCGATTCTTTTTCAAACTGCTGCCACCAAATATTAAATAATGAAGAATCTGTATATATGTATGATTGCATGTTCCTCGTACTGTGGAAGGCACTTAAAGCCATCGAATATTTAATACTCGTAGCCCTCCACATTAGTATAAGCACCTCCTAGCCCAAATTTTTAATTTCGTTTTGGTTTATTCTAATCTTCTTTTGTAACTTCAAGGAAGTGGCTTGGTTTATTAATATTCCCTATAAAATAGAAATTAATTGAAATATAGTATGACTACTAAATATCCTTTTTATGCATGTAATCTATTGAATATTATACAGAAAATGAAAAATATATGTCATCAAATCTTTCACTCTGATGCCGATAACAATTAAATGTTACATGCTTCATAATTTATCATTGCTTGATTTATTTTTTATTTGTATTACTGAACTTCAAAAAGAATAGTATTTAGTCATTAACCACAGTACATTATTATGGAAAATCTATCATTATTTATTATGTTATAATCATCCTAAAGCAACTCATAATTTTTATAATTTATACCCTATCTTTGCAATACTACCTTACTAAATTAACAAAATAGTAATACTCCAGCGTTTGGGAAAATTAATTTACTGTTCCTTTTGTTAGTAATTAGTCAAAATATCCGAATTCGTTTTTTTTTGCCCACAAATAATTTTTCAATTTTATTCATCTATTTATCACATTATATGCAGAGTGGGCGGTAAACGTGGCTGCAAATTTTCTTTAAATATTGATCTCAGAAGTGGATTTTGAAACACATATAAACTAAGTTTTTCACACTAAAGTAGAGAAGTTTCTGAAATTAATTGGGAACACTCCCTACTAAAAATGCCCCACAGAAACCAGTAAAACTTTTTATGGGTACCCATAAGATTTTATGGCTTTTTATTGACTTTTACTGGTTTCTGTTGGTCTCTGTGGGTTTTTTTTACTCGTTTCAAAATGACCCATAGAAACCAGTAAAACTTTCTACTGGTACCTATAGAATTTTTTATGGTCTCTATTGACTTTTACTGGTTTCTATTGATCTCTGTGGGTTTTTCTTACTGGTATCAATTGACACCCATACAACCAACATTCAATGGCAGAACTTTGTAAAGGTTTGTATAGGTTTATATTGACTTTTACTGGTTTTTCTTACTGGTATACAATATAATAATAAATCTTCTGTTGGTTTATATGGGTTTGTGCTATTTTTTTATCTGACGTCAATATACTTCTTGTAAACAATAAAATTAACAGAATGAAAATATGATTTCTTTAAGACCACCAGAGTAACCTGTAAACGCAGGTGGTCGTTTTAGAGAGGGTTTTTTTACTAAATATGCTATTTTTTTTATTTAATTTTTTTTTCGGAAACAATAACAGTAATCATATACACCACACACAACGAGGTCTCTCCAAGGCGACCAGCCGCAAATAAAAATTCATTTTTGCAAGTGGTCGCCTTAGAGAGGTGATGCTCAATACCAATAGATACTCACGTTCTAAGAGATACGTTTATCTTTTAGAGGTGGTCGTATTAGGGAGATTGCATCTACGGAATGAATCTCTCTAAGGCGACCAGACACACTTGCAAAATTTTCTTTGTGAATGGTCGCCTTACAGAGGGAATATTCAATACCAAAGTATACTTATGTTTTCAGAAATACTGGTCTCTTTCAGAGGCGGTCGTCTTAGGGAGGAGGTTTTTGCTACGAGTTGGTTCTCTGAATACACACACATAAGCAAATCGCAAAACTTTTCTCCTTGTTAACGCTGACGTGAAAAAAAAATTCCCTCTCCCTCCCCCACTCTCAGAAGTTTCCCAAACAAGCAATATGGCGCCGCTCTAGTTATTGTTGTGTGATGGTGGTGTTATTTTCTTCGTGGTTGTAGTAATGCAATATATTATTTACTAGGATTTACTGTATTACAAATTTTACTATGTTTTACTGTTTAGAAATTAGTAACAAATAATAAAATACCAGCACTGACTATGAATATACCACTAAAGCCATGCACGTGTTTGGCACGTCTAATGTTTGAGAGAACGTTGCTGATAACTGACTAGTTGTGAAATGGAGTTTCTGAGCGTGAAATTGATTTTCCATCTTTACTTTTATCCTGAAAAACAATGTGCTTAAAGACTGAAAAGTGATAATTTCAGGCTTGATAATTTGTTTCAGTGTGCAGATGCAGAAACGTAGTTTTTGCATTCTACTGAAACTGTTTTTGGAAAATTTATTTTTTTTGATTACAGTTTAAAAATACTTTTTTAAAGCTTGTTCATGTAGATGCTTTATCATTTGAATATTATGTACTAATAATTGAGCATACCTTACTTAAAAATGATCTTGCATGATTCATTTTGAATTTTTCGACTAATGTGATGTGGCCGAGCAAAAAGAATGTTTTTTTTATGTTTTAAAAAATGTACTAATTATATTTCGCGAGCAAAAAAGGTAGTTTTATATGAAATAAACATTAAAGTATTTAATGTGTTTATTACTTTGAATGGGTAGACAAGACATACAAGCTTAAGGAATCTTTTTTTCCACTACTAAATTATGTGAAAATTTAGATGATCATAGTAGCTTACATTGTTTTTTTTCTTTTTGGTCTATTTTTCTTTACAAGTATGAGACTAGAACCACATTTTTACATTAAATTTTGTGCTATTTTGTTAAAAAACACATATCATCATTTTTATGCATACTTTAATTTTCATTATTATTAGTTTGATGAAGAAAATTTCAAATGTT